AAATGCAGATGTAAACCATCCAGCTTGGGAAGACAAAGACTCCTAAAATCTACATACCCCCATCCAAACTCTAAGACAGGACATAATAGGATTAACACAGAGATACCAAAGGGCATACTCAGACTCAGGTCAAAGTTCATGCCACAGGAACAACTCCAAACAAAAGGCTCCAGCGGGTATAAAAACCCACCTCCTACATGTGCTTAGCCCCTTTTTTCTCTCTTTCCTGTCAGAGCCATCTTTCTGTCTGGCTCTCCTCTTCAACAAACTGCAACCTTCTTTCTAAAGCAGTCGCCATGTTGTTTATCCCCGGCTTGGACTGAACCATGATGAACCATTTATTTCAACAGTGAAAAAGCACCTTTGTGACAATGTCCAGAGTCCTTTGTGGTTCACTTGTGGAAGGGAATCTATCACAAGACCACTTTACAAAGACAAAGGCAGAAGCCACTGGTTGATTAAGATCCTGATCACAAAGTACAAAAGGAGGGTGGATTCAATTTCTACCTAAAATGGCACTAAAACATGGCACTGATGTATGAGAGTTTTTTACACCTACAACCATTGCACCATCCACATGGTAACTGGTTCATACTTATGACCGTTGCTGTATCCCAAGGTCGTGCAATCCCCTTTTGCAACCTTCTGACAAGCAAAGTCAATGGGGAAACCAGATTCACTTAACAGCCGTTGTATGAACTCGCCACAGTTGCAGTGATTCACTTAACAACTGTGGAAAGAAAAGTCATAAAATGGAGCAAAACTCAGCAACTTAGCAACCAAAAATGTGGGCTCAATTGTAGTTGTAAGTCGACTACGATTGAAAAAGAAAGACAAAAAGAAAAAGGGAAAAAAATAGATTTGTCCTTAGTCAAATATGGAGCTGCTTTCTTCATTGCTTGGAACAGGAATTTTTCCAGCACAGATCAGCAATGTATTTTTATGTGCACTCCCATCTTGATATTTTTTAACATACCCTAGTATCATTCCCTAGCAGGTGCTAATATGTGATTCAAACATTCAGCTTTAGAGCCCATTAGATTAACTCTCCATATCAAATTATATATTTCTCAATGAAATCCCTGATTCAAATTGAAATCCCTGAATCCATCTAGACCAGGGGTAGGCAACCTTGGCTCTTTTATGCCTCGTAGACTTCAACTCCCAGAATTCCTGAGCCAGCATGGCTCAGCTTGGAAACCTCTCCCTTTTCCCTCAGCATGGCTAGCTCAGGAATTCTGGGAGTTGAAGTCCACGAGTCATAAAAGAGCCAAGGTTGCCTACCCCTGATCTAGACACACCTAAGCAGGTTTTCAAGTTTGTGTTGATTTCAACTGAATTAGTCTCATTCAAACTATTTGATCCAAGTGTCCCAAAGGTGCTTTTTCAAAAGGCAACTAGACTTTGTTTTTCCTTGAAGACTTTTCACTTCTCATCCAAGAAGCTTCTTCAGTTCTGGTTAGAACTGCTTTTTGAAAAAATCACCTTTGGAACAGCCATGACCTGAATGACTGAGAATCTCCATAGAACATTTGATCCAAATAAATGCAACAATTGGATTTGAAAGGAAGTGACCTAAATTGAATTGATGATATGAATGTAATCCACGCTTTGAAATTGAACTGACAATTTGCATCGGGTCAAGGTTGATTCACCTTATTCTGTTTCATACAGTTAACTACAATTCTTGGTGGCAGCATGATCTACGTCCCATATACTTCTCCAATGACTTTTGTAGCTCTGTCTCTCTAGCCTTGTTACCTCATTTGGTTTCACTGTTATAGCCCATATAAATCACTCACCAGATCCTCATTCCAATATAGTCAAATTATTTCAGGATGTTCGCTCTTTTCCAGAGCCTCCTTCTTTCCAACCCAACCTTGTGATTCTGTTTTGTGCCCTCAGCACATTTCAGTCAATTTTGAAATTGCATCTTGCTCAAGGTCGCTGTGCCAGTTCTTTAAATGCTCTCCAGTTCAGTCCATCATCTCAAGCACCTGAATCAACACACATCTGATTTATTTATCCTGTTTATTACTTACAAATTAACTCAATGCAACCTGGAATTCAAACATAAAGTTCCTTCTCTTGCTCTCCCTCCATCCTTCTGAAGTAGACATGAAATGCTAATCAGAAGCTGCGAAAAGAAGCCCCCAAAAGTATAACTAGGCATTACTCGCCTTGGGATGGTCCTACAGAAAATATAAAGGGGCATGAGAGAGAGAACACTGTAGCAAACGGACAAAAGTATACATCTGTAAATGCTATGAGTGGGTCACCAGAACCTAGAAATTATGAGATTTCTCTATTGTGCAAAAAGACCTATCAGTTCACAAGATTTCAGTTATGTAAGGGTACACAATAATGCTTGGGAGGAAAAAACATTGCTGATTTTTGAGGTATCATCTTTCATTTGTCACCATTTTACTACTGCTTCTTCTGTACTTCCTACCTTACCTTACTGGAAAGCTATTTGCAGAAAAGTCTGATTTTTCATCAAAGTTCTGGGATGTACAAAGAATTCTTTTTCTTTCTTTCTTTCTTTCTTTCTTTCTTTCTTTCTTTCTTTCTTTCTGTTTCCCTTTCTTCTTTCTTTCTTTCTTTCTTTCTTTCTTTTTTCCATTTCTTCCACTTTTTACTTTATTTTTGTTTATTAAATTTATATATCACCCCTTTCACTGTAACAGTGATTCATTGTAACGGCGTAGCAAAAAGATCATAAAAACAATTAAAAATTAAGAAAGATTAAATAAAGACTTAAAAAAACCAAGAGGACAAGCAAAATAGATGTGGGGAACCTCTCTCTACTCCGCCAGCCACCCCCAGCATTGAGCGCACCTATCAGAGCCCCAGATCAGCTGGCAGAGCCAGGATTTAAGGCCTTTTCAGAAGGCCAAAAGTGTGGGGCTGATCTCACTTCCAACAGGAAAATATTCCAGAGGGCTGGGGCCACAACTTAAAAGGCTCTTCTCCTAGACTCCATCAGCCAAAATTCTGGATCCAAAGTTGGCCTCTTTTGCTGAAGTGAGTGTGATGGGTCAATCCCATTGGGGCGAGGCGGCTCCTCTTTTTTTCCTTATTTGCTTCCAATACTATCTTCAGAAGGGAACAATAGGATAGCTTTGAGGAGTAATGTGGCTGATCGCTCAAAGAACAGTTGCTGACTTCTCCATGCTGTATTGACTTATTTTTATCCCAAGCATTGAGTAGGAGCTAAGGTAGTCCTAAATTATTCTACAACACAACATGAAAGAACAATAGGCACAGGTTATTTTCCAATGATAACAGTGCTCTATTTTGATGCCATGGAGAGGTTGACTAAGCTTCAATACAATTAAACGTACCCAATATACTTCTGGTGATGTCCTAATGAATCTGGGATCATCGCTGGTATGTCAGGGATCCAGTATGCCTTGATGATGCATCTGGTAATATTGTTAATGCAGCTTTTGTAGGCTGCTTAGAGTACATAGCTCTTGTAGACTGTGTCTTTGGTTGAAATGTATTTATGTATTTATTATCAAATTTGGAAACTGCCCATGTCCCGCACAGGGGGACTCTGAATACAGATGAGGCAAGGGGAAAAGTGGACAATGTCAAAAAATGTCTGAAATATAGACACCTGTTTTATTCACATGTTGCTTTCTTCCACTCACCTTTTTTAGTCTTAGCAAGTTTAGTTTGAATGAAATTATTTAGAGGAAATGAGTAACAGATGAGGAGTGGCTGGAGGTGGAGCACGGATTTGACTTGTCCAGTCCCCCAAAGAATCCAAAGATCTGGTTCACACATCACACTGAACCTAGGTTTAGATACACAGTTCTTGTGTTCTCACCATGTTGAACAAACCACCGAGTGTATGACACAGTTTGGTTTCACACCATCTGCTAAAACAAGCAATAGATTCTGCAAACCATTATCGAAAGGGAGTTCAAAGGCCCTTGCCATAAAATTCGCTCTGATAATTTCAGCAGTAAAACTGAGAAGGGGGGAATAAAATACCTGTCAATCAGTGAGACCGATCCAGGGATGATAATGTGGCATCGGGGTCAAGAACTCATCAGTTGCCTTCCCGACCTTCATTCCCTGCTCCTCCACTTCATAACAACCCACCATGAAGTGTCCACCTATAAAGGGACACTATACAATGTGTCAGTCTCAGGAGGAACCCCCCCTTCAAAAAATCTTGAAGGCAGCTGATTAAACCAATAGCGTCCAACCTTTTGGGCACCAGGGACCGGTTCCATGGACAGAGGTTTTTCCACAGACTGGAGAGGGTGTGGTTTCACATGCTATCCACATCCTGCGGATGGGGCTTTGTTTGTTTGCGTAGCCCATTTTCTAGCGTGTCATGGACCGGGGGTTGAGGACCCCTTGATTAAACAATGCCTGGTCAGGATGTTAATGGTGGCAAAGGTCTGAGGTGGGAGAAGACCATGTTAGGTTTTCTTCCCTGAGTGTGTCTCAGGCTGTTAAGTGACAGAAGTTGCTGTTGTACTGACAAAGCACATAAAGTTCAAACAGTAGATGTACTTCCAGCATTATGGCAGGTCCACACCTCTTGTCCAAATAAAAAAGTCCAACAATAACAATATTCTGAAGATCAATGGCTTCTTAGAAGAACAAGGTGCTGCAATAGAATGAATGCCCAAACTTTTGACAGCTGCTTCTCAGGAGCTTAGGTAATAACAAACATAACACAAAATAACAGCTTAAAAAGAGAATACTACTTCATAAAAAAAACACTTGAGAATTTAGACATAATTTGTGTTGTGACAATAAATGACAGTTACAAGTGTTACAATATAGTTTTAAGATCAGTTTGCACATTTAAAATGGTCATATGCGGGCAGAAAGCAGTAAATATACGTCGTGAGCATGTCCCTAACTTCAGATGTTCATATTAATTCCTTGCTTTTCCTTTTCCCTTCCTTCTTAAATATGTATTTGTCTAAGGTGGGAGCCTGATCTTCTAAAATAAATATTTTGCTATTTTTCAGTGTTGTGTATTTTACTGCAGCAATGATGACATCCTTCAAAATCCACATTTGAAAATAACTTCATTGGGCCCAGCGGCAGTCAGAAAGCTGCATACACCCTTGAATTCTTCAGAGGATGAACAAAAACCAAAGAAAAAGTGACTGCTTTTCAAGGAATGGATTTTTGCACTTGAAGATGTCTTCATGAGACAAAGCAGAAGTATGCTATAGCCATCCAACTATAGCATCTAAGATGCTGAGACAGCCACCTGCAAGGAATTGTCCAAAATATACCCCAATGAGGCGTCCCACTTTTTGGAAAGATAAAATTCAGGACTTCTACTCATTCCTAGATAAAACTATTTTTCTTACTAAATGAAAAACCTCAGTAGAAAAGAAACTAAGCTGTTGTACAAAGCCAAACTGACGATTGTAGAGTCTTTGAAGCCAACTTCTCCTTCTCAACGGCCTACTTTGTTCTCCTCAAACGTGACAAGTGAACGTTCTTCTGAAAGACAGTTCTCTGTGCCATGTCTGAAAGGAGATCCAAATTCTTCACTTTGTTTTAGTTACCTGCCCCCCCCCATCATCAACAGTCTAGACATTAAAAAAAAGTGACTTCCTTTTTCCTCAATCTGTAAAATATTCAATAAGCAATAAATGTTTCGATAATAACTCCGACATCTGTCAAGAACATGTTGCAAACTACCACAATTAGAAAGCAGTATTTTTGGGTGGGTGGATGTGTCTTTTTTTTAAGGAAGAAAACAGGCTGTACAAATCACAGAAGGCATATGGACATTTTTACATTTGGGCTTACAAAATAGTATATATGTTATATGGAGATATACCTGAATATTTTATGAAGTAAGAGACAAGAGCATGGTAGCCAAAGAGGTCTTCCTTATTTCTTGCTTTGCCCTGTGATTACAACCATCATTTGGTAGCTAAAATCCAGAACACAACCTGGATTCATTTGTTCCAGTGCCATTGTCATTTCTTCAGCCAAACTTGGTTCTGCCAAATTTTGAAGGTTTTCCTGCTCTCAAGTGTATATCAAAAAAGTTTATGGATTGATGTCCAGTCTTTGCGCTCCCTCTGGTGGACACTGGTAGAATGACACTCCAATTGTTCAAGCAGGAAGAGATATTCAAAAAAGGAGATTTGTCTTCGGTTAGTGATATAGTTTAAAATTAGGAGTGGAAGGCCCCCTGATTTAGTGGTTAGCTGAAGCCATAAAGAACCAGGGTGAACAATTCAGTAATAATTCAAGACACAATATGGATGGTTTGGAATGTAATAACTTTGTTGAAACATAGCTGGTCTACCAGAGTCTGGGAAGGGGATATTTAAAGATCCTTTATCTGCCTTTTGCTCCCTAGAAGAATAGAGATAGAGTTAATGAATAATAAATATACATGCTTATTCAGTTACAGTTTTGTACCAAAACATTTGAAAAAGTTACCTCTCCATTTCTCTGTACTACAGGTAATCCTTGAGGCTGGAGGCTAAACCAGATCTTAATAACTTTCCTAAAGACAGGCAAAGTGGTCATGTATCTCCCTCGATATTGTTAATATTGGAATGGATAAAAAACTATTTCAAACAAGAGAGTATGAATTTTTACCAGAAAGTAAACTATGAAATGCTTTTGCTCAGGTGGCAAATTTGCAAACAGCTTATTTCACTTCCAACAAAGTCAAGAAAAATTTACAGCATATGCACTCACTCAGAAAAATACACCCCAACTCAAGTTACATAGGTTTAAACAAGAAAAAAGTTAAGCAAATGATTGGTCCATTAGTGGGGGAAAGTGGCAAGAGGTGACAAGCAACAGGGAGAAAGCAGAACTATTTAACTCGGTTTTTGTATCTGTCTTTACACAAAGGGAAAAAACAGTCCAACCTATCAAAAACAGTGCCATAAAAAACAGAATAGAAACACAAGTTAAGATAGGCAAGAAAATGGTAAGTGAGTACCTGTCTAACCTAGACGAGTTCAAATCATCAGGACCAAATGGATTACACCCCAAGATTCTCAAGGAATTGGCAGATGTGATATCAGAACCACTGAACTATATTTTTCAAGGATACTGGAGCACTGGAGACTGGAAAAGAGGACTGGAAAAGAGCTGATGTAGTTCCTATCTTCAAAAAGGAGGGAAAAATGGATCCGGGAAATTACAAACCTATCAGCCTGACCTCAATACCTGGGAAGATTCTGGAAAAGTTAATCAAACAATGAATCAGCGAACACCTAGACGCAAAGTCATTACTAAAAGCCAACATGGGTTTGTCAAAAACATGCCAGACAAATCTTATTGCGTTCTTTCACCAAATGACAAAATTAGTGGACCAGAGGAATGCTGCGGATATAATTTACTTGGACTTCAGTAAGGGATTTGATAAAGTAGATCACAACCTACTACTTGACAAGATAGAAAAATGTGGGTTAGACAGCATCACCACCAGATGGATTCGTAGCTGGCTGACCAGCCGTACTCAGCGTGTGGTCCTCAATGGAACTGCATCTACATGGAGGGAAGCAGGTGGTGCCATGCCCCAGGGCTCTGTTCTAGGCCCAATGCTCCTCAACATCTTCATCAACGATTTGGATGAGGAGATAGATGGGGAACTTATCAAAGTTGCAGACGACACCAAGCTGGCAGGAAAAGCCAACACTCCAGAAGATAGGCTTAAGATACAGGAGGATCTGGACAGACTTGAACATTAGACGCTATCTAACAAAATGTAATTCAATGGCGAAAAAAGTAAGGTTCTACATTTGGGCAAGAAAAACCAAATGTACAGGTATAGTATAGGTGGTATCTTGCTCAATAGTAATAACTGTGAGAGCGATCTCAGAGTCCTAGTGGACAATCACTAAATATGAGCCAGGAGTGTGCTGCAGCTGCCAAAAAAGCCAACACAGTGCTAGGCTGCATTAACAGAGGGATAGAATCAAGATCATGTGAAGTATTAATACCACTTTACAGTGCCTTGGTAAGGCCACACTTGGAATACTGCATCCAGTTTTGGTCACCATGATGTAAAAAAGATGTTGAGACTCTACAAAGAGTACATAGAAGAGCAACAAAGATGATTAGGGGACTGGAGGCTAAAACATACAGTATAAGGAACAGTTGCTGGAATTGGGTATGTCTAGTTTAATGAAGAAAAGGACGAGGGGGGGATATGGTAGCAATTTTCCAATATCTCAGGGGCTGCCAAAGAAGAGGGAGTCAAGCTATTCTCCAAAGTGCCTGAAGGCAGGACAAGAAGCAACAGATGGAAACTAATCAAGGAGAGAAGCAACCTAGAACTAAGGAGAAACTTCCTGACAGTTAGAACAATTAACCAGTGGAACAACCTGCCTCCAGAAGCGGTGAATGCTCCAACACTGGAAGTTTTTAAGAAGAGACTGGACAGCCATTTGTCTGAAATGGTATAGGGTTTCCTGCCTGAGCAGGGAGACTAGATGGCCTCCAAAGTCCCTTCCAACTTTATTATTATTATTACTTGCAGATGGATTGATATTACAAGTCTAACCACTTATTGTGAGTAAAACTATCTGTGGTTTTCCTCACAGGATGAAAATTCATACTCTTAGTAATGAACCCTAGTCCTAGGTCTGGTACCCTGATTTTAAAAACATGAGTTCCTGATGCAGGAAACAGAGCGACAGACATACAGTATGAAACTGAAACATTGGGAAGGAATCCTGTATTCCCACTTGCAAATCCTGACATTTGAAAATCTCCTTTCCAAATTGATTTGCAATTGCAACACAGATTGTTTGTAACAGCCGGGGGGGGGGGGAGAGAACAGTGATGACAAAAAGAGATGAAGATCTATTTTCTCAAGATAATTTTTAATTTAACTAAACATTTAGGGTGGTGTATTAAACGGTCAGACTGTTTTATTGAGTTTTCTTCAATCCAATCACCCTATAATCTAAACAGGAACTAGATCTCTATAGGAATTCCTATAAGGGTTTGAACTTAGTGATCTGAGCACAAACCTGAGTAAGATTGACTCAACACATTATACACAGTTTAATACTGCCAGGTGGATTCTACATATAATACTGGAACTACATCGGGGAGGTAAAAGAGGTAGTATGGTATGGAGGTTAGGGGATTGAACTAGAACTGTAGGAACCTTAGTTCTAGTTCAGTGGTGGCGAACCTATGGCACATGTGCCAGAGGCGACACCCACCATCGCCCCAGCCCTGCCTCCCCCTGTGGTCCCCTCCTCACCAGCAGCCCCCCGGAGAAGAGTCCCCCCCGGGCGTGGCCCATGTGGAGCTGCACAGCCAAGAATATGGCAGCAGGGACAAGACTCCACCGTCACACACAGATGATGCTGCAGGGCTCAGGCGGAGGGCGTGGCCACCATAGTGCTGTGGGGCCACCTGGGCGATCTGCGGTGGGCCGTGGAGGTGGTAGGTGGCCCTGCAGGTGGGCGGGGCAGTTTTTGGGCACTTGGTGTCTAAAAGGTTCGCCATCACTGTTCTAGTTTACCTCAGTCATGGAAGCTCCCTGGATGACTTTGGGCTATTCTACCAGCCTCACCTACCCCATAGGTGGCTGATGGTTGTTGGGATAACCGGACAGAAGCAGCAAGATTTCCCCAAAACACTGTTGCTCAGCCATGAGGAGCACATGCCTGACACTAGTAACCATGGAGGAATTTTAAGACGATCATTGCTATAACTATCTCATTTACAGCTGGGTAGGACCTTTGTAGAGAAATGAAGTTTTGTATTTCATTATAGTTCACGTGGGAAATGTTCTTAATCCTTCCATCAGTTGTGCAATTAAATATCTGCTTTGACTTCCAGTTTCTATTTGATGTTTTGGTGTTGGCTGCTTCTACCTGTTCGTACCATCCACCTGTGCCGGAAGAGCCTCCTTTCGCTCTCTCTCTGTTTCCACAGCCGGGCCAGCTGTACAGCGTTGTGTCCTTCATTGTCCTCGTCACTGGCCCTGGCTCCATATTCAAGGAGGGTACTGATACATTCAACCTGGCCCGAAGTGACAGCAACGTGGAGGGCTGTCCTACCCAGTGGGGTTTTAAGTTTTACATCAGCACCTGGAAAGCAATAAAAGGCATATCTGGGATTCAATAAGACTAGGTTTAACGTTTGTTTCATATAAAATGCAGTCAGAGACAGAGTCTCCTCTGGGGACACATTTCTTATGCCCCATCGCTGGAGGCTTTTAACAGCCTGGAGAGCCACTTGTCTGAAATGGTATAGGATCTCCTGCTTGAGCCAGACTAGAAGACCTCCAAGGTGCCTTCTAACTGTTATTTTATGCTCTGTGTTCTACATTGGGGAAACAAAACAACCACTTCATAACATAGGAGAGCAAACCCATCAGGACAAGATTCAGCAGTCCATCTGCATTTAGAAGACAGAGGCCACTCTTTCAAAGACAGCAAAGTCCACATTTTGGACAGAGAGGACTGCTGGTTTGAAAGAGGGATCAAAGAGGCCATCTATGACAAAACTGAACAGCCCTCTCTCAACAGAGGGGGAGGGATACGACATAATCTATCTCCAGTCTGCAACACAATCCTTTCAACAGTTCCAAGAAGGCTCCACACCCATTTGCATCTCCATGTGGCCTCAACAACTCTCTAAAAGAATGCAAACGACCAGCAATCTACAAGGAGTATAAATCTTTCCATTTCCCCCACCATCCAGTCAAAGCTGAAGAAGCTTCTTGGATGAGAAGTGAAACATCTTCAAAGAAAAACAAGAAAGTCCAGTTCCCTCGTGAAAAAGCCTCTTTGGGATCTACCCTGAGTTGTTCTTTCCTCTTAAGCAGAGGTTTAAGTGGCCCATTTCATCATTCCCACAAAATGGGTTTAGCTACATCAGCCTGATCCTTATCGCTCTTGCGCATAGTCTGATGCCACGCCCAAGATGTTGGAAGTTGGGCAGTTCTGGGCTTATGGGAGAGAGGCTGGATCAGCTACAGGCAGAACTGATTTGCCATATGACCAGCAGATTTAAATTTGAGAAAGGCAAGATCCAAAGCTTTTTTGGACACAGAAATTTTTGAAGATGCCAGTCTTGGAAGCCCCAAGCTTGACAACAGAAATCAATAATAAGAAAAAAATAGGCATTCTTCCTTCCGCCCAGTTTTAAATACAAGTGACCGCTCTAGGCTTAAACTGTCTTAAGCCAACTTGAACTTAGCAGAAGTACTACATTACAGGTACTCCTCAATTTACAATCACAATTATGCCCCAAATTTCCATTATTAAGCAAGACAGTTGTTTAGTGAGTTTTGCCTTAATTTTACAACTTTTCTTGCCGCAGTATGTTAGAATCTGGCTTCCCCATTGATTTTGCTTGTCAGAAGGTTGCAAAAGGTAATCATATGACCCTGGGACACCACAATCATCATAAATATGAGCCAGTAAGCTATTTTGATCACACGGCCATGGGGATGCTGCAACAGTCGTAAGTGTGAAAAATGGTCATACGTTTCTTTTTTCATTGCTGTTGTAACTTTGGTCACTAAATAAATGATTGTAATTTGAGGACTACCTGTGTGGAAAAAATCAGCATAGACTATTACTGGAATCCTTTCAGAACTTAGTACATTACCATGTTGGAGCAGAAATTCCATGGCCCTCGTGTGGCCTCTGTGAGCAGTCATAAATAAAGCCACAAATGCTCGATGCGCTAACCAGTCATTCCTTGTTTCTTCCGTCATCAGCTTCGAATTTGCAGTGCTGAAGGAGGAGGTCTGTGTAACTCCTACGGTTTGCAACTGGCAACAAAGACGCAAATGTTAATGGCTCAGTATTGAGAAGCTGGCAAAGGAAACACAATACATGTTGTACGGCGGTTCTCGACTTACAACCCTTCATTTAATGACTGTTCAAAGTTATGCCGCTCTCAGAAAAAAATGATTTACAGTCTTTACTCACAACTACCCCCCATAGTGAAGTGATCACAATTTGGGAGAGTGGTCTCCCGTTTGTGATCAGTTGCAGCCTCCTGTGGTCACATGCTTGTGATTTGTAACTTTTCTTGCTGATTTTCCGGCAAAGAAATGCCCATTGGGGAAGCTGGATTTGCTTAACAATCCTGTGATTTGTTTAATGACCAGAAAAAAATAGCAATTCTAGTCCAGGGCTACTTATAAATGAGTTCCATGTTATTTTCTCTGTCCATTTGCTGTTGTGAGGTTTTTCTGTGATCTTCTATTTAACTACAGGTAGTCCTCGACTTATGGCCACAATTGAGCCCAAAATTTATGTTGCTAAGCAAGATGGTTAAGTGAACTTTCCCCATTTTATGATCTTTCTTTAGGAGATAACCAGGCTGAGCCCAATGGAGGGGTCAAATGCATCATCAGTCATGAGTCCCTGCATGCCCATAAGAGATTTTAATCCAGCCCACCTTGAATTCCTTCTACTCTTATCTACCACTAAATTCCCTTGACTGTTAACAGCTTATATTCTTGTAGAGAGCTTAAGCTTGCAATAAATCTTTATATTCAGTTGAACTGCCTGGATCACCTGATTTCCTTGGCACTTGGCACAGTTCTTAAGTGAATCACTGCAGTTGTTAAGTTAGTAACATGGTTGTTAAGTGAATCTGGCTCTCCCATTGTCTTTGCTTGTCAGATGGTTATGAAAGGTGATCACAATGAACCCTGGACATTGCGTCAGTCATAAATATGAGTCAGTTGCCAAGCGTCTGAATTTTGATCATGTGACCATGGGGGAATGCTGCAATGGTCATAAGTGTAAAAAACGGTCATAGGTCACTTTTTTCATTGCCATTATAACTTTGGACAGTCACTGAATGGACTGTTGCAAGTCAAGGACTACCTGTACTCACCGTATCTAATCCTGATTTATTTTCTGAGGTAATCAAAATCTTCAGATAATTTTACTTTGTTTTTGTGCCTTTTGTTTCTATTTGTAGGGGTCTCAAAATCTTGAAGTAGCCAGGGGTGTCTAAATCTCTAAGAGGGACTGGCTGGCTAAGATTCCTTTTAACACCTCAGTTTTGAATTTTGATATGTTTAAACTGAGTCTATTAGGTAGGTGTGAGCGTTCAGAATGACAATTTATCAAGATTTCTGAATGCAAATTACTGGGCTATTGTTTACTTCTTGACTGTTTGTCTGATGTTAATCGTGGTGCTAATCTATGTTCATCTTAGTATTGATTGCTGGTGGCGAGGTGTTTTGGTCTTTTTGTTCTTTTTTGCCTTGTCTCTTTTGAATGGCATGTAGATGTTGCTTATGTCTATGTGTTTGCTGATGGCCAATTTGTCAGTGTGCTAGGCTTCCAGTAATGATCTGTTTTTTGTTTTGTACTATGTCCAAATTACCATTAAAACATTCCTTGACTCAAAGGAAGCCCTTCAAAAAAAAAAAAAACACACATTGTAGTTTCTATAGAACAGTATCAGGTGATTGTAAAGCTTTCAAACTAACCCTCTTGATCTTTCCACTTGCAGCTGCAGCCACCAATTGTCCCCAAGAATCTTCTGGCCAAACTCTCATAGTGAGAGTTGCTCCAGGGACGATTTCATGTTTCCTCAAAGTAGACTCATCATCAAGATCTGCTGTAGAAGCAAACTGAAAACAGTAGGCTTGGAGAAAGAGGATATTCTGGATAGAAAGAAGACCATGAGATCTTTTCTTGGATATTTGCAAGATCAGTCTGATTTCAAAACCAATTATTTTTAACCTTGGAATTCTTGAGGAGGTCTGACTCAACAGTGCCCCTTGCCTGAAGAAGTAATATTCTGCAAGGTGTTAATGCTTGCATAAAGTATCAACCAGTTGCATCAAATTCAGCCAAAACCAGAATTTTCAAGTACAGAGATTCAGAACTGATTTCCTGTCATTTGTGTGATTAAAAAAAACTAAAAGAGTCTCTGTGGATTTTACTCCACTAGTTGTTACTAATTCTAGGAGGTGGTGCTCATCTCCGTTTCAAGCTAGCACTGTCCAAAGATATTTCCGCAGTCATGTGGCCAGCATGATGTCAGGGAGTGTTACCTTCCGACCAAAGTGGTCCTATTTATCTACTTGCATTTGCATGCTTTCGAATTGCTAGGTTGGCAGGAGTTGGAGCAAGGACAGGAGCTTCTCCGTGATGGTGGCGCAGCAGTTAGAGTGCAGTACTGCAGGCCACTTTAGCTGACTGTGTTCAGCAGGTCAGCGGTTCAAATCTCACCGGCTCAAGGTTGACTCAGCCTTCCATCCTTCCGGGGTAGGTAAAATGAGGACCCAGATTGTTGGGGGCAATGTAAATATATATATATATATATATATATATATATATATATATATATTATATATATATATATATATATATATATATATATAGGTCTTTGGTTGTTCGGGTTTTCTCCCGCGTAAAATTGGAAGTGTCTTGGCAACGTTTCGACGAAGTCACATTCGTCATCTTCAGGCTGGTGTTTTAGCTTCTTGCTTTGAGCAGCAATGTGTGGTCTTAGCTGTTTCTTCCTTTTAACTGCCAGTGGGGGTATGAACTGATTGGGTGGGAGCTTGGCTGTGTTCTGATTGGGTGGAGGTGTGTTCTGAATGGTTAGGGGCTTGGCTGTGCTCTGATTGGCTGGGGGAGTGTTCTGTTTGGTTGTGCTCAGGTTAGTCTGAGTTGCAGAGGGGTTTAAGATTTTGGGGTTAGGGAGTCGTTTGTCAATAAGGGCAGGTTTCCAAATGGCTGGTAGGCGGGAGGTATCATCTCGCTTGTTCATGCTGTGTGGGCGTTTTTCTATCTCGATGGCTTCTCTGATTATTCTGTTATTAAAATGTTCACTTTTGGCAATGGTTCTGGTATTTTTAAAGTCAATTTCATGTCCTGTGGCTTTAAGGTGTTGGACCAGGGAAGATGTTGGTTCCTCTTTTTTGACTGAGTTCTTATGTTCTTCAATGCGTGCACTTATTCTTCTGTTGGTTTGTCCGATGTATGTGGTGGGACAAGTGGTGCATGGGATTTCGTATACTCCTTGATTTTCTAATTCAATTTTATCTTTGGGGTTTCTAAGGATGGTGGATATTTTTCTGTTTGTGCAGAATGCTGTTTTGATGTTGTGTTTATGGAGGATCTTACTGATTCTGTCTGTGGTGCCTTTTATGTATGGGAGGAGGGCTTTGCCGTTTTCTTGTTCTTTGTCTTGGATTTTGGTGGGGGTTTCTTTTTGGATTAGGTTTGTAATCTTATTTCTATGGAATCCATTGGATGTTAGTACATTGGTGAGAGTGTGTAGTTCGGGTTTTAGGTGTTGTTCGTCAGCTAAGCGTTTTGTTCTGGAGATGAGTGTCTTGGCTACAGAGTTGATCTGTGCTGGGTGGTGGTGTGAGAGAGCGTGCAGATAGCGGTTTGTGTGTGTTTTCTTCTGGTAGATGGTGTGTCCTAGGGAGCCATTGGATTTCTTGTAGACTAAGACATCCAGGAAGGGAAGTTGGTTGTTAGCTTCTGTTTCCATGGTGAACTGTATTTTGGGGTGTAGGCTGTTGAGGTGTGTGAGGAAGTTGTCCAGTTTTTCTTTCCCATGTGGCCAGATTATGAAGGTGTCGTCTACGTATCTGAGCCAGAGTTTGGGTTTGTGATCCGATTTTTCTAGAGCTTGGGTTTCAAAGTGTTCCATGTAGAGGTTGGCAATGACAGGTGAGAGGGGTGATCCCATGGGTGCTCCTTCTGTTTGTTTGTATTTTTGTCCGTTATAGATGAAGTATGTGTTGGATAGGCAGTGGTTGGTCAGATCTAAGATGTGTTTGGGGGGGTTATATTTGTTTTGAATAGCTGTCAAGGCTTCTTTGATAGGCACTTGGGTGAAGAGGGATATGACATCGAAGCTCACTAGTAGGTCGCTGGGCTGTAAGCTTTGTTTCTTTATGATCTCTATAAACTGGAATGAGTTTTTTACGTGTGAGGTGATGGATTCTGCATAGGGCTGTAGTTGTTTGGCGAGAAATTTGGCTAGGTTTTGTAGAGGTGAGCCTATGGAGCTGACTATAGGTCTGAGTGGGGTTCCTTCTTTGTGTATCTTGGGGAGACCATAGAGTTTAGGGCATCTGGATGATTTCTCTCTGGGAATGATTCTTTGCTGGATCTCTTCGCTAATGGGGGAGGCTTTTATCTTGGTTCTGGTGGTTTTTTCCAGGTAGGTGGTGGGATCTGTATTTAGGGGTTTGTATGTGGAGTCTTGGAGTAGGTTGGTTAATTTGGTTTGGTAGTCAGATGTGTTCATAACCACCGTGGCGTTGCCCTTGTCTGCTGGTAGGATTATTATGCTGGTGTCTTCTTTCAGGTTACGTAGTGCTGTCTGTTCCTCTTTGGGTAAGTTGCTTTTGGGTGGCTTGCTGGTGCAGAGGATGTTGGTGATTTTGAGTCTGATTTTGTTAGCGTCATCGGGGTTGATTTTGGTCAGGCTGGTTTCAACTCCACATATAATGGTTTCAGTGGGGATGTGTTTGGGAGCGACTGCAAAGTTGAATCCTTTGGAAAGGACATTGGTTTCGGCTTTGGTGAGGATCCTATCTGAGATGTTATGCACTGTTTGTTTCATGTGTGGCTGTGAGGGAGGAGGGGTTTGTTTCTGGCGTTCTTGTAGTCTTCGGAGTTTGTTGGTGTGTGTATCTGTCTTGAGGGTGGTCTGTGTTTCGGCTCTCCAGACGGCGAGTTGTTTGGATTTGTCCCAAAGTGCGGGGTGGATCTTGTTGCTGAGTTTGAGGTGGAGTGTGAGGAGATCTTTGTTAATTCGGTCTAGGAATTAGACCGAAGAGATCCAGCAAAGAATCATTCCCAGAGAGAAATCATCCAGATGCCCTAAACTCTATGGTCTCCCCAAGATACACAAAGAAGGAACCCCACTCAGACCTATAGTCAGCTCCATAGGCTCACCTCTACAAAACCTAGCCAAATTTCTCGCCAAACAACTACAGCCCTATGCAGAATCCATCACCTCACACGTAAAAAACTCATTCCAGTTTATAGAGATCATAAAGAAACAAAACTTACAGCCCAGCGACCTACTAGTGAGCTTCGATGTCATATCCCTCTTCACCCAAGTGCCTATCAAAGAAGCCTTGACAGCTATTCAAAACAAATATAACCCCCCCAAACACATCTTAGATCTGACCAACCACTGCCTATCCAACACATACTTCATCTATAATGGACAAAAATACAAACAAACAGAAGGAGCACCCATGGGATCACCCCTCTCACCTGTCATTGCCAACCTCTACATGGAACACTTTGAAACCCAAGCTCTAGAAAAATCGGATCACAAACCCAAACTCTGGCTCAGATATGTAGACGACACCTTCATAATCTGGCCACATGGGAAAGAAAAACTGGACAACTTCCTCACACACCTCAACAGCCTACACCCCAAAATACAGTTCACCATGGAAACAGAAGCTAACAACCAACTTCCCTTCCTGGATGTCTTAGTCTACAAGAAATCCAATGGCTCCCTAGGACACACCATCTACCAGAAGAAAACACACACAAACCGCTATCTGCACGCTCTCTCACACCACCACCCAGCACAGATCAACTCTGTAGCCAAGACACTCATCTCCAGAACAAAACGCTTAGCTGACGAACAACACCTAAAACCCGAACTACACACTCTCACCAATGTACTAACATCCAATGGATTCCATAGAAATAAGATTACAAACCTAATCCAAAAAGAAACCCCCACTAAAATCCAAGACAAAGAACAAGAAAACGGCAAAGCCCTCCTCCCATACATAAAAGGCACCACAGACAGAATCAGTAAGATCCTCCATAAACACAACATCAAAACAGCATTCTGCACAAACAGAAAAATATCCACCATCCTTAGAAACCCCAAAGATAAAATTGAATTAGAAAATCAAGGAGTATACGAAATCCCATGCACCACTTGTCCCACCACATACATCGGACAAACCAACAGAAGAATAAGTGCACGCATTGAAGAACATAAGAACTCAGTCAAAAAAGAGGAACCAACATCTTCCCTGGTCCAACACCTTAAAGCCACAGGACATGAAATTGACTTTAAAAATACCAGAACCATTGCCAAAAGTGAACATTTTAATAACAGAATAATCAGAGAAGCCATCGAGATAGAAAAACGCCCACACAGCATGAACAAGCGAGATGATACCTCCCGCCTACCAGCCATTTGGAAACCTGCCCTTATTGACAAACGACTCCCTAACCCCAAAATCTTAAACCCCTCTGCAACTCAGACTAACCTGAGCACAACCAAACAGAACACTCCCCCAGCCAATCAGAGCACAGCCAAGCCCCTAACCATTCAGAACACACCTCCACCCAATCAGAACACAGCCAAGCTCCCATCCAATCAGTTCATACCCTCACTGGCAGTTAAAAGGAAGAAACAGCTAAAACCACACATTGCTGCTCAAAGCAAGAAGCTAAAAACACCAGCCTGAAGATGACGAATGTGACTTCGTCGAAACGTTGCCAAGACACTTCCAATTTTACGCGGGAGAAAACCCGAACAACCAAAGACCTATATACAAATACCCGCGAAAACCTCAGAAAACATATATATATATATATATACACATACATACATACATTGCTTACTGGTGTACACTGCTTAGAGAGTGCTTGCACTTAAAGCGGTATATAAGTCTCATAAATAAATAAATAAATGTGGTGCTCAGGTCTTGAACCTGGACGGCCAGCTTTCCAGCTAATGAGCCTAGCGTCTTAACTACTGAGCTACTGCACCACCCTCTCACTTACGTGGAGTGTGGCTAAGACGGGGGGGGGTTCAAACTGCCAGCCTACGGACCGGACGCATCACGTGGAAGCCGCACCCACCCCATTGCCAACAATGGCAAAACCAGCCTGATATGTTGCGCGACGTCACATGACGTTGCAAGTTTGACGTGCCTGGGCTAGCACAATGTTCAGTTCCAAATCTGGACTTCCATGTCAGTTTCAGAGGATTCAGAATCCAGCAAAGCAAATGACCAGGAAACAAAGAACTAGATGCATAATCAGTAAACTTGAGAAGTGTTTAGGAGGAAGGCGGTTTTGTAATAGAGCCTAGCTCCATAAACAAAGAACGTCCTAGCCCAAAAGTCAGGATAAACAGAAAGTGGTGAGGTGGTCAGAATAGTCATGTCTGTCCCTCTCCCCATCTGACAGTAATTCATTTAGCTTTATAGATAAATAAAATTGAAAGTAATGGAATTGACAGGAAATTACAACCTATCAAAGGAGAGGTAAAGAGTGTTAACAAATAACGACAACTGGCTTGCTTGCCAGAAGTCATGTTTATGCTCTTAGTACAAGTCCTGAATTTTAGAAAATAGTTAATCTTAAGCACCTGAAAGAAATTAATAAAAGCAGAAGCCAGCTGTCAGGGTAGTGTTTTTCCATGTATTAGGCCAGGGGAAACAGAAAATCTTAAAGAGGACACTGTTCTAAAGTAAGAGCAATTCTTCAAATATTATTTTACAGAGGAGATATCTTGATGAAGCCGGGGAGCTTAATTTTACCTTTACACAGCTGGGTTTGCAATAGGCAAACAGACTGTAGACAAATTGCTAATCTGGTGGAAAAGTTGTAGGCATTATGCATTCCCAAGGTGGCCTGTACACAATGCTGGAAGAAGCTCTGATGTTCATCCAAACTGTGAGGTTCAGAAATCAGGATTATGTAGAAAACTGAGCACTGGGCAAGCCAAGGAAACATAGTTTGAAATATTGCCTTGCCACACAGAGCAGGGGTTCCCAACCCCCGGTCCGTAGACCAATACCGGGCCGCAGCATGCCAGCAACTGGTCCGCACAAACAAGTAAAGCCCCATCTGTGGGATGCAGACAGCACACAAAAACACGCACCCTCTAGTCCATGGAAAAACCTCTCTCCGTGGAACCGAACCCTGGAGCCCAAAAGGTTGGGGACCTCTGACATAGAGGACAAGTTGGCCAAGCAGATTTGAGGAAATACAGTGCATAAATAGGAAAGTGATTTAGGGAGCATTCATTAAACATTACGTGGAGGGATCAGGACAAACCTGTATAAAAGGGTTTAGACGCCACTTGAAACAGAAACATTCTGCTGTTTAACATCAAGAAAAGATGGGAGCATTTATTGTAGAATCATAAGAGGATGTGGTCAGGAAGTTATCCTTAGACAAGAATGCCCACCTATTGTCTTCCAAGAGTGGCTGAATAATTCATGTTGACTGCAGCTTTAGTAGCTTTAGCAAATTCTGCAGTCATACTTTGCCCATAGGAGACCTTAGATCAGGAGTCTTCAAACTTGGCCCTTTGATGACTTGTGGACTCCCAGAATTCCTCAGCCAGTCATAAAAGGGGCAAATTTGAAGACCCCTGCCTTAGATTATGTGAATAAATACGTTCTGAAACACAATAGGTAAAACAATAGGTCACAACATTGTTGAATCCACCAAGGTATACAATTTATATTATAAAAATTGTATGCTTATACAATTGTGTATAAAGTGTATGCTTATTTTTCTAAGGACATTTTAACACGTCACTTTTGATCAAGAATAAACAACAGAATAAAAAGAATGTTGAAAAGGAAATTAAAATGACAGTAACAGAAACTTCATCAGAATTCAAAACAAAGGTAAATCAAGACTAATATAGTGGATGAGCAATTTCAGTCAAAGCATTACAAAAGAAAAAAAAAAGCTTCCATCAGAAAATTGAAGTCTTATCCAAATAAGAAAAAGTGTACCGTATATGCCGGCGTATTAGGTGACCCGGCGTATAAGACGACCCCCGTCTTTATAGCCGGGCCGCATTCCTAGAACGTTGTCTTATACGCCGGAAACTACCAGTATTTCCGGCGTATAAGATGACTCGGCGTATAAGACGACCCCCGTCTTTGGCGCCGATTTCAGCGCTCGCGGAAGTCGTCTTATACGCCGGCATTTACGGTACTTATTCTTACTGAAAAATGCCCAAGGATTTAAGAAGTAAGGACTTAAGGCTGACAATAAAACATTGCTTTGAAATAGACCAGTGGTTCTCAACCTGTGGGTTGGGACCCCATTTGGGGTCGAAGGACCATTTCATGGGGGTCGCCAAACAATGCAGTCCGCCATTTTTTCCTCTTTTCCTTAGCTGTGCTACTCCCTTTTATTCTATTGGCTTTTGAAAGCCAATAGAATAGACTCTCTTGAATAGAGTCTAATTCTATTAGCTTTCAAAAGCCAATAGGAATTGTCCAGGCTGTCTCTGCCCCGCTGAGCCCGCCAAAAGTTCCATTCTGCAAACGATGCTGCACCAGTTTAGTAGTCCTCGACTTACGACCAGTTGAGTAGTCCTCGACTTACGACCGGTTGGGGGTCGCGGCATTAAAAAGGTTGAGAACCACTGAAATAGACTAAACCCAGGGAGTGCAATTAGACACAAAACAGTATAAGAAACTACATGAGAAGGGTAAAGGAAATTTGCCTTTGCCTTTTAAACAAGTTGTAGCACATTTTAAAATAAGTATTGTTTCATCTGTGCAGGGTTTTTTTCCGTCCACTACTTGTAGTCCACCCAAAAGATAGTTGGGAGCCCCTGGACACTAAAAAAGTTATGAGCACCGCTGATAAGAGAATGAATACATTCTCCCTTGAAGCTTCTCACCCTTGAACATGTTTTTATTTTGCATTCAAAAATACTATTTGATGAAATAGACAATCTTAGAGAAGTTGGTTACATTTTGGAGTAGGACCTGATTGAAAACAAGACTGATCCGATTGGTTTTGGGATGTTTAGGTATTTTAATGCAAAGGACACTTTAAAAAAAATATGGCACTACTTGTTTTGCATTATTTTATCCACATTTCTCATGCTAGTGCATATTGAAATGGCAATCCTATAAGATGGACTGGACTCAAAGAGAGTAACTGGCCTTAGTTTACTCAATGAAATACGTTATCAAGCCTTGTACTGCTAGTTTTTAGTCTTTAGACCCCCTGGGTAGGTCTAAAATAGTACATGCCAATATTGTTTTAAAAATACAATTACTGTAGTATGAGCTGCAGAGTCCTTGGTGCTCTCTGAGCTTGGTTGTTTGCCTGCAAACATTTCATTACCCAACTAGGTAATGAGCTGCCTTGAATGATTAACTCGAAGATACACATTTCTGTCTAAATAAAATGACCTGACTGACTTGACACTGAAGCTACATTTCATTAGCACAGAACTTGGACTACCTATGTACAAGTTTTTTTTTTAAGCATACCCAAGCCTGTGCTGTAATATAGCTACATATTATATTTTTATCATTTATGCTGGATACCTTTTTGACTAATAACCCTTGAAACCATCCATATTCAGAAAAAAAATTCCTAGCTAGCTCAGTCAGTAAGACATTACATGGAGGACTATGACATTGTGTTAAGTGGAAAAGAGGGTTCACCTTCATCCAGGTACTGAATTCGCTGGAAATTCACTGGGATCCCAACAAAAAGCTCGAGTCGACCCTTCAGTTTACCGATACTTAAGTCGCGATGACATTCAGGTAACGAAAATAATTCTTCAGTTTCAACTATTTGTAACTTGATATTGAAAAGCCGTGACTGTGGAGATGAAAGCTCTCCTAAACGCAACTGCCGGTGCCATAATGTACGTGAACTTGTTCCTGTTCTGGTTTGGGGATTTGTGCCAAGTGGCTTTCTTTTGCTTTGCATTCTATGAACAAGATTGTGTATTAGATTCTTTCCAGCTGAACTCCCAAGACCAATGATGTCATGACAGAAGAACAATGCCTGCCGGCCAAGTCACTGGGACCTAGCCAATGTGATGTCATGAGGCAGCTAGGAGACCCATCTGGAAACTGCCAGCTAAGGGATAAAAAATTCTTACAGCAAGCATGGGTAAAGCAAAGATACGATTCAAAACCCCAATAGGCTGATAGAGTCCCCAAAGAATCAAGTTCAAGTCAGCTTTCCTCACTAATGCAGCACCCTGTAGTAATTAGCCAGCTTGGTCTAGTGCAGGGGTAGGCAACCTTGGCTCTTTTATGACTCGTGGACTTCAACTCCCAGAATTCCTGAGCCAGCCATGCTGGGAGTTGAAGTCCACGAGTCATAAAAGAGCCAAGGTTGCCTACCCCTGATAGTGATTAAGAGATAAGGTCTAGTCCCATCTTAGCTGTGAAAGCCAGCTGGGTGATCTTGGGTCAGTCCCTCTTTGTCAGCCCAACCCACCTCACAGGATTATTGTTGTAGGGAAAATAGGAGGAGGAAAGAGCATTAGATACGTTCACCATGTTGAGCTGTTTATTAAATAGTAATAAATGTGGGGAAAAAAATAAATAAATGAAATGCTGATTAATGCTGCGTTGTTTACCAAATGATGTTCAAAAAGAATATGCAGTAATAGAGTCAACAAATAGTTTGATAAAACAGTGGTGGGATTTATTGATATAAATAAGCATAGAAAGTTACATAGATTCTTACAAAATCAGTGGCACATTCAGACTTTATCCAACTATTTGGATTCTAACTGCCATTCTTTACAGGTTTAACTACTACAGCAGAATTGCAGCTAAGAGTTGTAACCATGTTGCAACAGATAATACCAGGTTTGATTTCAAAATGAAATCCATGCAGCTTCTGTAAGAAGAGGTGATTATTTATCAGCTTCAACTCATTGTGAGGTTTAATTACATTTATGTTATTTGAAAAAGAGCATGTGACTATCCTCCTTGAGTGCCCATTGGTGTTTTTTTTTTAACCTACAGAATAACCTGTAAGGTTCCATCACCCTATCATGCAGTTTTATTATAGGTAAACAGTTTTAAGACTAACGTACTGCACAGATCTCAGTGCTAATTTATAAGTAGATTTAACAGCCATTGTGAAATGAATGGTGATGGTGCAGTTCTTTGTAACTTAAACCCAAAGCTAATAAACTGAATGCAAAAATATATCGGGAACCAAAGCAAGTTGAACTGTCCAGAATTTTCCTTCCCCTACTGCATACAACTATGGAATAGAGTTTGAAAACATTCTACAAAATTTTTAACCAAAAGAAAATTGTTTAATTTTTTTTATTAAAAAAACCCCCCTCAGATCTAAGAAAAGGTGTTAATGAAAAGTTTGATTTGTCATTTCACTAAAAAATTTCAGCTATTTAGTCATGCATAAATAATGCTATTTAAACAGTATTTTCATGAAAACATCAACTTCCTCCACACAGGTTTTTCATATTTAGTTGGATAGTGTAGGAAATAATTCTAATCTAAAATTAACATGGCCATCAAACAACCGTTTTAATGTCTAAACAGCAGGCTATGTACAGTTCTTTTCAAACATTTCTACATGCATTCAAAAATTTGGTGATGAAAAAAATGAACTTTTTACAGAAGCAAAAATTGAACAATTTTAGAAAAATCTTAACTATTAAAATATTTGTAGGATACTAGCATTAGAAAAAGTGAAACTACAAAAGAACTGTCACTGCAGAGTAACTGCAGACGTAAAAAAATCATTTGCATTGAAGAGGCATTTTGTTTAAAACTTACTCAAACACTTAAATATAGAATCAGCTTGCAGAATTTAGTTTACACATTTTTATGCTGAAATACCAAAGACATATTTTTAGATGTTCAAAAAACATTTTAGAAACTTGCAAAGTAAATAAGATTATAAAATCTAAAAACTGTTTTGCAACCTGGAACACAATCTCTCATAGCATTGTGTCCAAAATGTATTAAACAAGTCTAATAAATTAAATCATTTTTTTTTTTAAAAAAAAGACACAAACGGACAATTCACAGGACAACTACTTATTACAACAAGGACATTTTAAGATATTAGCTAAATAACCCGGCTTGCAACAAAGCATATTTTACAGATTTTCTAAAGAGATTCCACTATGTTTATCCCAAAATTAAAAATTTTCTTATAGATTTTTGGAATTAAAACCTTATGTCTATATTAATACACAATTTAACAAAATCTTAAGAATATTATTCCATTAATAAAAATCATTAACTCAAGCAATGATCATTTATTTCTGTGAATGATTCCTAGGAGGTGCCTATGTCATATACATTTTTGTTCTGCGAAACAAATCATGCTGTAAGAGGGGTTTTTTGGGGAGAGGTAGTTCTTACAATAGTACATATAGTAAATTCTTTGTATAAGTTAAATGTTCATGTCTATCCAGAGCTAGGGGACTCGCAGTATAATCTTTAAACTGGGAAGGTTATGTCCAGCAGCTCTCACTAGACCAGTGTTTTTCACCCTTGGTAACTTTAAATATGTGAACTTCAACTCCCAGAATTCCCCAGCCAGCAAGTCCACATATTAATTCTTTTTATACAAAGTTTATCCTGTTTATCCTCTGTAGAATCTAAACATTGCCAAGGTTAAGAAACACTTCATAGACTGAGTTTGTTTTTCCAAATCTCTTGCATGTATTACCGTACTGTATTTTAACAATGTAAAATCAAGATAAACCTTGATCTACCTCTTTTCCTTTCCTTTATTTTTCTATTTATATTTCTTTTCATTTTTATCTTGTCCAAAGCAGTAAGAAAAACTATTTTTTAATTCTATTTGTAGCTTCAGCAAGACACTGAAAGATCAGGGATCACAGTTGGTCTAAGTCGGGGGTAGGCAACCTTGGCTCTTTTATGACTCGTGGACTTCAACTCCCAGAAATTCCTGAGCCAGCCATGCTGGGAGTTGAAGTCCACGAGTCATAAAAGAGCCAAGATTGCCTACCCCTGGAGTAGTATGACTCCATATGCACACAGGGAGATCAGGGTGTTTGCCCTGGAAGTGGAGATCCTCCACGCTAAGTGATAAGCTTTTTCAGAAGGTCTCCCGATCTTCATAAATAGCTGATCATAGAATATGCAATTAGGGGAGCTCTGCAAAATCCAAGGGTTATATACATCGCTAGATAAAATACTTCATTGTGACTTTTCTGTCCACCTTGAAAAAAAGAATATCCCCAGTATAGACAGTCAGTTCGTGGGACTTCAAACTTACGCTAACTTGTACCTCTAGCTTCTTTCTCCTAAGGGAAAATTCTAATTTCTTTCTCCCCAGCAAATGTTGAGAAACTCCCCCAAACATGCCAGCCCTACTCTGGCAGTGAAATCTAACAGTTTATAGGCCCAAGCATCCAACCGTCTCCTATGAAATATACCCTAGAACAGGGCTTCTCAACCTTGGCAACTTTAAGACTTGTGGACTTCAACTTCCAGAATTCCTGGCTGAGGAATTCTGGGAGTTGAAGTCCACAAGTCTTAAAGTTGCCACGGTTGAGAACCCCTGCCCTAGAAAATATGTAAGAATTCCTTCAGATGTAGCTGTTTGAAAACAGCAGGGCTCATCAGAAGACATCTTAGCACCAATCAAAGATAGAGGTGAATAGGAAAGACAAAGAATAGTTTATTTAATTTCCCACACTCTTTAACATTCATGAAACTGTCTGCCATCGCCTTAAAGAGAACAACATAAATCTGTACTTCACCTTTTTTCAAATTACAGATTTGTTTTCTGAACTCTTTACCGACGAGTACATTTTCATGCTTTAAATAATGTAATACAATAAAATGGGGATGCCAGTGGTTCAATTAATAACAAAGTAAGCAAGAGGCCCACATATTTTAGGTTCACCAACAATGCTCTTATTTTTAGTCAAACCAAGCATTGTCTTGGTTTGTCCCTGTAACTTGAATCAGTGTGTTTCGAAAGGCATGTTCTTAGTTCGTTTAAGCTGCAAATATGCACGTTCACATAACCACATGAACATATAGCTGGATGTTTTATAGAGATAACCATTACTCCTCATATTCATGAAAAAACATAATTATATATAAAAAACAGTAAACAAGTATTCCATAACAAGGTGATATGTACTTAAAAGGACAAACGCGTTTCTCACTTTAATAACAGAATTAAGAACGTGGCCTTTTCTTGTGAATTGCATTATTTCCTTGACAAGAGTCCTCTTTCACCAGGTTAGTTAGTAGTCACAGCAGGAACTTGTTAGCTGAATAATAATTTCATAGACTAGATGCACAAAAAATGTTAGTTTTGTTTTTCAAGTAACGTGATGTGCATGTTACTGAGTTTTGGTTGGATGGTGGCAAAAAACGAAACGTCTTGATCCCTGTCTGCTTGGAGAACCAAAACAGCCTCTTCGACCGCATCCAGATGAGGATTCCCGACACTTCTAAAGTATGCTAAAAAATTAGTACGAGAATATTATTCAGTATCAAAGCATTTATCTATCTACTTTTAAACATTCAGTGGGGGTTTCAAAGTGTTAGGACCATGTAAAAACCAACAATAAAATGCAAAGTGACCAACAATAAAACCAAAAACCAACAATAAAATGCAAAGGAATGGGAAATGAAAATACCACTCAAAGTCTTTACAGCGCAAGGAAAAGCACAGAAGAGTTCAGAGCCTAACAAATAAGTTTGTTATTGTACTATGTTGTAAAAAGGAGTCCCTGAGGATTTTATTCCACTAGTTCAGGGGTAGGCTCAGGAATTCTGGGAGTTGAAGTCCACGAGTCATCAAAGAGCCAAGGTTGCCTACCCCTGCACTAGTTTTGCTAATTATAGGGGCTGATGCTCATCCGACATTTCCATGGTCACAGAGCACTGTTACCTTCCCACCAAAGTGATACCATTTTATCTACTTGCCTTTTCATGCTATGGAACTGCTAGGTTGGCAGGAGCTATGCTGCAAGAAAGGGCCAAACTGAGTCATTTAGGGATACAATTCCATAACAATTTTATTCTGCCACATTTTAGGCATTCAGCTTTAAATATACCAGAGGAGTCAGGATAGCAATAAACACATCTGCACTTACACAGATGCAACAAATCAATGACAGAATACACACTTGCAATCAGAAGATCCCAGAATCAGTGATGACTT